CTTCTATTGGAAACACAGCTTTGTCTACGATTTCATGAGATGATCCTGGGAGACCTTTTTCAATTTCTATTGCCTTTCTCCAAAGAAATATTTACAATGTAGGGATATAACAATGCTGATCTACCTTACAAGATTATATGCCAAACTTGCCTTTAAGCTAGATAAGGCAGACAATTGATAAAAGTGAAATATTTTTTCTTTCAAATAGTCTATATTAGAGATGCCTTATTTTTTTTTAAAACATCCCCATATTAAATAAAAGCCAAGAAGCTTTTGTTCTAGATAGACAGGCAAAGCTATTAGATTAGGGAGAAGCTTTCTAAATGGAGCTAGTTCGGTTGTTTTTACTTATTTATAAGTAAAATTTTCTCTCCCATGATGGATGATATACAAATCAGGTCCCTAATATATCACAGAAATATCAAATACGATGCTGCGCAAGAAAGCAATTTGCTGCAAAGCCTACCTAGCAAAGTGGAATAGAACAAATATTGTTCTATTTCTTTTCCCTGATAAAAGCCTCTCTTGATATGAGTTTTCTGTTTGGAAAATTCCTTTTAAAAAAGATGTTTATGTACAAAGAGGCCTATATTACTTTTATGTAGAATAATGCATGAGCAGAAAAGGCCTCTCTCCCAGCCCATTTCCTCTAATTCCATCACTACCTAGGGAGCATAAGATCTTCCGACATCCTTATTCTTGGGCATCCTATAGATAAAACCCCAGGAGCGCACAGAGAAACCTCTGTACTATTTCCATTATTTTCGCAAACTTGCGAAAAACACAAAACATTTTAAATAACTGCCAATGTTGGTTTTGTCTCTTCCAGTTGCAAAGTGAGAAAGGTACTCCGAGTGTGTGTTTGATGGCGGTACCAATCCTGACAACCTCCTGGCTTTGTTGCTGTAAACTATTTTTCATCATTTAGCCACCCATCCAGAAAATGATAGATGGGCCAGGGTCTCCTTTTCAGGGTAGTCATTCTCAACTCATGTCAAGAACTCCTGTTGCCCTTCAAGTTCTGAATAGATTGCATGGCTGGAGATCTGGGCTCTCACTTGTGAAGATCACAACAACACTACAAAATAACTGTGTACACTGATGATGTTACTTTGTTTGGGTCATGAAATGTCTTCAAAAAAACCATCAAGCTGTGGACCAAGGAGTCCACAATCTTCCTCCTCCTCCTCTCCACAAACTCTACTCCCTTAGCACTTATGATGTTACCTAGTTTGGGTAATGAAAAGTCTGCAAGAAAACCACCAAGCTCAGAGAGCACCAAAGACTTCTAAGTGGCAACCCTTTGATGACTGAACTTTCCTCCTGATTCTAAGTTCAAAAGATTGGGGTGACTCCAGCTCCCAGAATTCCTCAATGGTCAACATGGTGATTGTGAAAATTTTGTGAATAGAAATTTACACTCTAGGAGGACAGAGAGAGATTATTTTATTTTATTTATTTTTATTTATTTATCGAATGTTTAGAGCTGCCTATCCCCATGCAAGACTTTGATGAAGGGTGCTCCAAGACTGAACTGCAACTGCATGGCACCTGCAACACGCTGGCATTATAATTCTCCAGAACCCATCCACCTATCCTTGTACTATATCTAATATTTTTCATCCATGCCTCTGACTTTTCCCAGCAGTGAAAATCTCTACAGATCAATACAAATTCAGAGAAATAAAACTA